CGTTGTGGAAGGACACACATGTACATGTCTTAGGACTGAGACTGATGTGAGTGAGTTCATACAGCTCTGGTCATAGGCACTCTCAGGGAGGTCACAGAATCACAGGATTGCAGAATATGCCAAATTGGAAGGGGCCCACAAGGATCATTGATTCCAACCCTTAGCCCTGCACAGGACCATTTCTAAGAGTCGGTGATTGCTTTTTTAAGAGTCACACTATGTGCCAGCGAATACCATCCAAACACTTCTTGAGCTCTGTCAGGCTTGGTGCTGTGACCACTTCCCTGGCAAAGTCTGTTCCGGTGCCCAACCACCCTGTGAGTGAAGAACCTCTTCCTAATATCCAAATTAAACCTTTCCTGATGCAACTTCAGGTCATTCCCTCGGGTCCTGTCCCTGGTCACCACAGAAAAGAGATCAGTGTCTGCCCCTCTTCTTCCCCTCAAGAGGAAGTTGTAACTGCAATGAGGTCTCCCCTCAGTCTCGTCTTCTCCAGCTGAACACACCAAGTGCCCTCAGCCACTCCTCATATAGCTTCCCCTCAAGGCCCTGCAGCACCATCATTGCCCTCCTTTGGACCATCTCTAGCAGCTTTAGATTTCTTTGATATTGTGGTGCCCCAAACTGCCCCAGTATTCCAGGTGAGGCCACCCCAATGCAGAGCAGAGCAAGACAAATCCCCTCCCTCCCCTGGCCGGCAGTTGGCCCTCCTGGCTGCCAGGGCACTGCTAACTCATATTCAACTTTGATATGTTTCACAGCAAGAAGTTTGATTGGTGCTGGGATCAGCTCGGAGATGACAGCTCATGTGGCAAACCTGTGCATCCCACTGTGCCTGGTGGCTCAGAGTTCCTGCTCCACCAGCAGATCTGCACACCACTACAAGGGAGAACCCATTCTTCCCTCTGAAGAACCCAACCAGCCCTCCTGGTGACACTCAGGACATCTCACTTCAAACCTCTCATCACCCTGATGTCACCTCTCTTTACCAGTGATCAGTGAACAAGATTAGTGAAAGGTGTTTATTCTCCTACTTCTTATTTTCCTTAATCAGCTCTTTGGGCTTCTTTGGTGCATGTTCTTATTTTGTCAATTACCAAAAGAAAAGACAAATAATATTCATAGTGGTTTCCTTTTTCTGTTCCTCCTTTTTTATTTTTCCAGTTGATAGAGAAAACATAAAAGAAGAACATTCACTTCCCAAAAAAATCCTCCTTAGTAATTCTCTTGCAGTTAACAGCAAAAAATTAAGGTGCATAAAGTACAAAATACAATTCATACAGAATTAAAAAACAACAAAATTATTGGTATGATACCAACTGTTACTTTTCTTTACTGTGCCTATTTATTTTATAAAATGTCTATATCTTTTCCTATATATATGCAGGTGTCAGTGTAAAGTCGTGATGGCCGATAAAGATACAAGGAGTCAGTTATGTGCAGGAAAGATGTCTTCTTCCTCTTTATTTTCTCATCAGCTATTTTTTATACCCCTTGCTAGCAGCAAGCAGTAACCTTATTTTAGGTAAGCAAGCAACAGCGTTTTCATTGGCTAGGATCTATGGGCGATCCATTTGGCAAAGCTCAAGGCCTTATTGCAGTTCCCACATCCTAGGCCTACCAACTTTACAGTCTGCCTTTGTTTTCTCCATTAGGGCTGCGTACTGACTTCCTTATCATCAAGGATACACCTGAAACTTTTCTCAGTCAATATCTCCATCCTGGGAGCTAATAGACCCACTATTAACCCCTTCAATTCCCCCTTTCTGTAATTGTGCAAGAAATATTCCCTGTGTCGTCTTTTGCAGGGCCCTTTGCAAACACGACACAATACATGGTAACATTACTAGCACAACCACGACTATTATCAAAACTAAGACCCCCGTCTTGAGTAAGGACAGTAACCAACCCGAAATGCTCCAATTAGACAACCAGCCTTCCAGGCCAAAAAAATAAAAACAAGCAGTGGCAGTTAAGGTACCCAAAATATCTAGCTCCTGCAGTGAAATGCCTACCGGTAGCTTAACAAGCCAGTCGTTTACATTTGCAATGCAGCTCTGCGCAGAAGCATTACAAGCCTTTGTTGCTACATCAGGTAATCGTGTAACATTAGAAACAAGTTTCACTGCATCAGAGTTATTTACAGGTGCCCCAACAAGGCATGTGTGAAAAGGTAGCTCTGGTTTCGCCAAGGAGGCACAGAAGGTAGTCTGGTTTAGTGCTTTCATCAGGGTCACCCAGGCGTTGTGGCTGTTCCACGGGCTGAGTCATTCGAGCTGTTCCACGTAGGAGTCATCACTGCCAGTTCCCCCGAGGCAAAAAAGGATGCACGCACCGAGCAGGAACCCACTGTGGTCCATCATCTGCAGAGACACAAGCATAACCCTTTCCCCAGGTTATCAGTTGATGAGGGCCGGACCACTGTCCAGACACCAGGTCCCGCACCTGAACGGGAGCAGGAGCGGTCACAGGTTGACATGACACTAATGAGGAAAAATGCAAAAAGAGAGCAGGAAAATGAGAATCCAGGGGAAAACTCAAAAAATTTAAAACATAAACAGCTTTGTCTATATGGGCTTGAGGGGGCTCACCGTGCATTCCCCCTTTCTGTTTCTGAAGCAGACGCTTCAGGGAGCCATGCATGTGTTCTACAATAGCTTGCCCCGTAGGAGAGTGAGGGATGCCAGTAACATGAGACACTCCCCAGTCATTCAAAAAGGTTTGAAATTTCTGAGAGCTATAGACAGGGCCATTGTCAGTCTTCAGCTGTAATGGGACACCGAGGGTAGCGAAAGCTCGTTGAAAATGACGAATCCCATCAAGAGTACACTCACCTGCATGAGCAGTAGCACAAACAGCATGAGAATATGTATCAACAGAAATATGCACAAATTTTAGACGTCCAAATTCTGGGACATGAGTAACATCACTTTGCCATACCTGTAAAGCTTGCAGTCCTCTAGGATTAGTTCCATAATAGACAGGGACATTCTGACCCTGGCAATCAGGACAGGCAGCCACAATAGAACGAGCAAGGGATTGTGTAATGCCAAACTGTTGCTTGAGAGCAGTACTGCCTTGGTGAAAAAATTGATGTGAGAGGAGAGCCTGTTGTAGCTTGTCTGGAACAGGCCCGATCTGTGCAGGTGCTACGAGAGAGTCTGCTCGAGCATTACCCTCAGTGAAAAATTCAGGCAGTGAAGTGTGACTGCGAATATGAAAAACAAAGTAAGGAGCAGTACGAGATTGTAGAGTTCGCCACAATGTTAACAAAACCTGAAAGAGAAGACGATCATCACAATCAGAAAGAACTACTTGATCTAAATGCTGTACAAGTCCCACCACATAAGCTGAATCTGTAACAAGATTAAAAGGCTGAGGGAAAAGCTGAAATGCCAAAGTAGCAGCATGGAGTTCCACAACTTGTGGAGACCCAGATTGTTGAACAAGTTCATGTTGCCATCCTGTGGGTGTATACCAGACCACAGCAGCTTTTCCTGTTTTCCCCAAACCATCTGTAAAAAGGGAGAGTCCTTCCACTGGTTCCGTAGATGACAGCAGCTTTTGTCCAACAGGTACTTCACTAAAAAATTTCAGTAAAGGGTGTGAAGGTAAATGATAAGCAATTTGTCCCTGAAAATCTGCCATAGCAGCTTGCAAATCATATTTGTGATTCAAACACCACTCAAAATACCAGGATTGTACAGGTAAAACAATACAACCAGGATCTCTGCCTTTAATTCAATGCACCGTTTTCGTGCTTTCATGATAATCTCAGCAAGAAGTTCAAACAGGCCTGGTGCTGTTTTCCGAGATCTTGAGGGTAAAAACAACCACTCAAGAATGGTCCCAGGCCTCGTTCCACTGAACAAGGATCCCACAGGGGAACTTCTGATCTACAAGAACAAAAAGCTGAACAATTTGAGACAAATCAATGCGAGTAACAAATCGTTCTGTTAACAATGTTTCTACCTGCCGAATGATTTGAACTGCTTCCTGAGTTAAGGATTGTGGTTCCAATGGATCTGTGGAATGTTTGATCAGTGCAAAAAGAGGTTGCAGTTGCGAATTTGTCAACCCCAAATAAGGGCGTAACCAATTCAATGAACCTGCTAATTTTTGAACATCAATTAGGGTATTGATATACAATTGTAATTGAATAGGTTGAGGCCTTACTGTTCTTTTGGTGACAAGGAGGCCCAGATATTGCCAAGGTTCTGCGGTTTGTATTTTCTCTGGTGCAGTGACAAGGCCAAAAGACTGAAGCGATTCTTTAGCTGCATTTGCAACTGCAGACAATGTTTCTTTTTGCTCGGCCGAGAACAGAATATCATCAAAATGGAAACAGTAACATTTCGGGAACTGGATTCTCCGAGGAGTTAAGGCCTTTGCAACATACCACTGGCAAATTGTGGGTGAATTTTTCATCCCCTGAGGCAAAACCTTCCATTGATATCGCTTTGCAGGTTCTGCATTATTGACAGAGGGTACTGTAAAAGCAAATTTTTCTTTGTCAGCCTCAGCTAGAGGAATTGTGAAAAAACAATCTTTCAGATCAATTACTATTATTGGCCAATCAAGGGGTATCATTGTGGGTGATGGGAGTCCTGGCTGCAGAGCTCCCATCGGTGCCATGACAGCATTGGCTTTTCTTAAATCCTGTAAAAATCTCCATTTCCCAGATTTCTTTTGTATAACAAAAACGGGCATGTTCCAGGGACTGAATGATGGCTCAATGTGGCCAGCAGCCAATTGCTCTTGGACCAGATCCTGCAGGGCCTGTAACTTTTCTCTGGACAGGGGCCACTGAGATACCCACACTGGAGTGTCAGTTAACCATGTAAGTGCCAATGTAGGCTGTTTATTGCCCTGCAAAAGCACAGTGGCCCCACTTAAAAATCCGTGGTAATTTTAACTCCCCGTTGAGCCAGACAATCCCTTCCCCAAAGAGTTAGAGGGGCAGGAGTGACATGTGGTCTTACAGTCGCAGCCTGCCCTTCAGGATTACAAATCAGGATGAAATGAGCTGCAATGTAACGCTGTGTAGTTCCCCCCAACCCCACAACACCTGAATCAGAGGACACCAGAGGCCAAGAGCTTGGCCATTCATACATGGAGATGATGCTTATATCAGCACCAGTATCAAGTAATCCAGTCACCTTAACAGTAGAAGGTGAGGCTTTCACATTATGCAGTTCACAAGTCATCTGTGGACATTTGTGTGAAATAGTCTGTGACCAAAATACTTGCGCAGGTCCTGTTGATCCAAATCCTCCAGTATGTCTCTCCTGGTTCTCTGTCCTGGGAACACAACTCACAAAAGGCACAAGTTGAGCAATTTGAGTTCCTTTTGGAATAGTAACAGAAGGGTAGGGGGTAGAAACCATGGCATAGATTTGTCCTGTATAGTTTGCATCAATTACCCCAACATGTACAATTATCCCAGCAATTGTGCTACTCGAGCACCCGATTAACAAAGCACTCAGTCCACGTCCGATAGGTCCCTTAGCATCTAAGGGAACCTTGACAATATCTGTAGAAGAAATTGTTACTGTTGCAGAGGTGGATACATCCATACTGGCTGCTCCGCTGGTTTTCCCTGTGAGCTGGTAGTAGAGGGGAGCATCATGGGGGGTGCATATGGGTTGTACTGTGGCAATGAAGGTACTTGTGTCTGAGCGCACCTCCTCCTTGCGCTGGCTTTCCTGTTTCCCTGGAGAGGCTGTCTATTGGCATGAAACTTGGAGCGACATTGTTTAGCAAAGTGCCCTAGTTTCCCACAACGGTTACAATGAATACTAGGAGGATTAGGTAAGACCTTTGGCTTTTCCCCGTTGCTTTTATCAGGGCAGTTAGCCTTAAGGTGTCCTTCTCTATTACAGTTATAGCACTGCGGTGTAGGACGCAATATTGCAGCAAGGGCAGTCATTTGGTGATCCATAGTACCCACTTTGGAACATGCAGATACCATATGAGCCACAGACGGGTTTCCTGGCAATGCATCTATAATTTTCTGACAATTTTTGTTCACATTATCTTTTGCTAACTGTTTTAGGAGTGCCTGACGCAGGACTTCATCATCCACCTGCTTCTCTAATGAAACTGCAATATGTTCAACAAACTTTAAATAAGGTTCCCTTGGTTCCTGTTTCACTGTTGTATATCTAGGACGAGGGGAAGCAAGCTCCATAGTTTTAGTCAGAGCTAACATTCCCACCTGTTGACATTGTTGTAACACAATAGGATCCCACTGGGCCTGTAAATCGGGGCTACTAAAACAATTTTTTCCCAATAAGGCTTCCACTCCTACACCCAGTCTGTGGTCCCCTGGAGGAAGTCTCATATTCTCTATAACTGCTCTTTCTGCCTGTTTTTATCAGTTAGAATTAAACACTTCGTATTGTACAGGTTCAAATAAAACCTGAGCTGGATGGTCAATATCATAAGGAGCAAGTAGATCAGCATTAATTGCACGAATCACATGCATAACTTCAGAAGAATTCACACCATATTTTGCCACATACATTTGCAAATCCTGAATAGCTTTCCAAACAAATACATAATGTTCATCTTGCTTGCCAGAGTTAGGAGCTGCCTTAAAAACAGGATAAGCTTCTACTCCTGGCTCTATTCCCGGAACAAATGCAACGTCCTTAATAGCTTGTGAGGGGTGCCCGATCTTGTCTAACAACTCCCATTCCCCCCTTTTTGCAGCTTGTACACGCACTGTCTCCCAAAACTTTCTAGGATGACGTGGCATGACTGTGACAGTGGTGACTGCCGGCAAAGTCCATGGATCAGATAGCGTTCGTGTCTTTCGGCTCTGGGACCCCTTATGTACAGGTTGTAAGGCTTGACTATGGATGGAGGCATTTTCAGCTTCCTCCCTGTCTGCATCATCTGCTGGGGGGGCATCCTCATTGTTTTCATCAGTGCCCTCGTCCTCCTCCTTCTCTGGCAGAGGAACAGAGGACGCTTGCCTTTGCTTAGCTTTAAATTCTTCTCCAAGTACCATAGGTGTCTTATACCGGTAAGGGACTATAGCAGTAGGGAATTTGTATTTACAAGGAGTTTTAACTGGGTTATGGGGCGCAGGATAGTGAACTTTTGGACCTTTCGGGGTTTTCAGAGTTGGACTCTTGGTAGATTTTTTAGTATGTGTATCCGAACGCCACACTGTTTCTTTTTTATCTGCCAAAGCAAGTAATTCATTGTCAGAGGGGGAGGTAGCAGGTGGCAATGCCGCAGCAACTGAAGTTCCCTCCTCCCCTCCGAGTTCTTCTGTATCTGACAGAGGCTCTGTTTCAGGCAACTGAACACCTTCCGAAACTTGTTCATTAAGCCAGTCTTTTAAAGTTTCAACTAATATATGCCAGGTGGCAGGCAAACCTTCTACTTCCTTAGCACTCTTAGCACCCTTATAAACCTCTTTCCACCGTTTATCCCCCACCTTCTCTCAAGTCTTTACTCTAAATGCAACTGATGTGTTAGCTTCAAAACCTTGCTTTCGACACCATAGCAGCAAACGTTGCAAATCATAATCTTCAACAGTTACTCCTTTACACTTTAGGAAGTACTTCCAAGTGGACAGCACCAACTTTTCCTCTTTAGACATCTGATTCCCCATTATTACAGTCTTTGTTCTTGGCGGTTCACCTTTTCCAGGTGTCAGTAGTTCTCAGGTCTACGTGGGCATTGCTTTTTGAAATGTCTAGGCTGCCCACAATGAAAACACTTCTTCTCTATCTTTACTGCCACTGCAAACAAGGCAGCCATGGTCTCCATCTGATGAGACATAGAGCCCACTTTTTCACAGGCTTCTATCATCTCAACCAGGCTTGCATTGCTACGCAGAGGTAGCAGTGCACATTTGCAGTCTACGTTAGCATTATCTCGAGCTAACTGCAATATAAGTGTGTTCCGAGCCTCCTCATTAAGCACTTGTTTTTCCAGTGCTTCTCTCAGTCTATCGATAAACTGTACATAAGACTCATTAGTCTTCTGTTTAATGGTTGTCCACGATTGTTTTGGTTTACCTGTCTCATGGACGAGAAGCAAGGCTTGACCAGCGAGCTCTTTGGTTTGCTGCAAGATAAGAGGGTGAAGCCGAGCCTGCAATTGTGGCTGATTAAGTGGTGCATCTCCAAGCAACTGAGGCAGGCCTGCACCAAACCTAGGGTCATCCTGAGAGCGTTCCAAATTTCCCAGTGATGCCTGTTCTGCCAGCCTCCTCCAATGCGCTTCGTTGGATTAAAGCATACTTGTGCGACAGAACGGATATCATGAGGAGTAAGCTCACTCGCCCAAATTCCTCTGATTAAAGACTGTGCAAAAGGCGAGCTAAACCCATGATGCATAACAGTCTGACGCAGGTCCTTAATGATAGCATAATTGAATGGTTCCCACTCATCAGGCTCTTTGCCATTGTTACGAATTACAGGGCACGTAAGTAATGGGCCACCCCCAAGGACTCATGCCAGATCGGAGTCTCCCTCCTCTAGAGCCCGCTCTTTTATCTTCTGCCAAAACTTGCGAGGGTCTGGAGCAGAGATAGAAACCTGCACCGGTTGCATGGTCCTGGGGGACATGCTGTCCTGGGGGGAGAGGAGGCACAGGAGGCTCCGCTCGGGAACTCAGGGGACAAGATCTTGGTCCTCCGGCTTTCTCATCAGTTGACAAATCTATTAGCATAGGCTCCTCTCTCACCCCCTGTGGGTTAGACTCCGGCTGTTGCAAATTCAAAGGTAATGACGGCTGGGCAAGTGCCTCCCACCCTTCTCCTGTGTCTGGGGGCAGCGGGACCTTTGTGCAGTCCATAGCAGGAACAGTCCCTGGCTTCCCAACACTATTACAATGGGACGCAGCTAATTCCTCTTGGGGCTCTGTAAGCGGGGGGGCTTGAGAGGGGCCTGCCGCAGCAGTTCCGGATGCAGTCTCAGATACCTCAGGCTGCAGAGCGTTACTCGCTGCAGAAGCAGCTTTGCGATCTGCTTTGAGTTGCCTCAAGGAGTCGATTACAAGCCTCCAAGTAGTTAAGGAATTTGTAGCTACCGTATCCCCCCTAGTAGCTGCGTCAAAAAGTACCTTGCCTGCGTTGTCCCACGTTTCTATACAGAATGCAGTCTGAGCATCCGCATTAATTCCATTATTCTTGCACTAGACAAGCAAGGTGCTTAGAGTACGTTCTTCATATTTAACACCACGTTTTTCTAATATTTTTGTTAGTATTGTTAAAATGGATTTTTCTTCTACAGATATCTGCACGCCCATAATTTATTCCCCAACGGCTCACCTCCTGGAAAGGTGTCTGTAAATTAGTAAGTCTTGACTTACTTTTCAGCTCTAAGGTACGCCGCTTGGCTCTGAGGTCCGCCGAAAAATGCTATGTTGGGGTTCCGTCGTCGCTGCTCTGAGGTCCGTAGCTACCGCTCTGAGGTCCGCGGCTGCCGCTCTGAGATCCATGACGATGAATCCCCTTGCTACCGCTCTAAGATCCGCGGCAAATCTTCTGCAAAAAATCTTCCGTATCACCACTCTAAGGTCCGCGGTCTTCTGCAAGGAATCCTCCTTGCCGTAAATCTTCTGCGCAATAAATCGCGTCGGGGTTCACCAATTGACGACGGTCAGGAATTCACTCCGACAACAGGCAAAGGCATACGGCAACTTTATTTACATTAGGCTTAAATTTATATTCTTTTTCCCTGTCCATGCGCAAGCATATTATATTTTGTTGGTTAGATACTTCTGTTCACGAGCCTAGACTCGTCTTTTGATAGGTGGTTGACAGTCCTTCGCGTGCTGGCAAACCTCGAAAACAGCACCTGTTATTTACAACAGTTTTGCTATTTTTCTACTTTCCCATCCTAGATTGTTTACATTCTTTAGCACTTCAGAGCTGCAACTGCTCAAATTCAAGGCCTACCATCCAGTTGTTTCCCACACATACATATATGCAGGGATGTATCTGTACAGTGCTCAGTAATGCATAAATATCTACAGACATGCACACATGCATCTATCTTGGGTTTTATGGTATATCTTAGGTTTTTTTCATTATATTAGTTTTATTTCATTACTACTTATGGAACTGAGCTCTTTTTTCAGTCTTCTTACCATTTGAAGTGTCTTTTCTGCTTCCAGTTTCCAGCTCATGCACAGCACAAAAATGGTCTCCAGAGGTTGCTCTCCTTAAAACAGGTGAATGTACAGCAAGAGGAACAAAGCTATTTAATAAATTAATAATAAAAAGACGGTTAGGAGTCAGACACTATTAGACAATATGTTTGATTTGGGACATTTTTTCCGTGAGATTTTCAGATTTTTTCATTAAACATTTAAATCCTTCTAAAAAAAGTGAAAGATCAAGGTCATATTCAAAAATGTTTCATTCGAAATGCAAATACTGTTTGACCTTCCTGTGCTCTTGGTTTGTACCAGTGTAATTTTACTGGTTCAGTTTTATTATATTTTTCTCAGGATAAAGATGCTGAAAGGCTAGATAATCCAACCAGTGGATTGTCTTCCCTTGAATCTTTCTACCCCCTCTTCACTCTTTTTAGTAAGTTTGAAATTAGAAGACACATATCAAGAGATAATTCAAAGGCACGTTAAGGAAATTAATGTTACAAATCTCATACACTGAAATTAGAACTGCAGGAATAGTTGCCCTTCATAAAATGTGATGACTTGCACTTGCAGCTTTGGACTTAGACACCACCTGGTAGTTGCATTCGCATGGCATATTCAGTACTGCCAAAAAATCATCTACTGAGATCATTGTAGGTAGCTGTGTCATCACTCAGAAAAGCTGGTCACCACTGTGTGGATTGGAGTCTACAGCTCTGAAAGTCTGTATAGGTCAATGTCTGTACAAGCCAGCTTTTATTTTCTCCTTTTGAATCAGTGTCACCCATCTATGCACCATAGAACATTAATGCCCAGTTACAACTCTCCTTGCTGCCTATTTAAATGATGATGGAACATTTAAGAAGCTTTGCTATAAGGTGTAATCACTTAAATTCCCAGGCAGGTGATGGCAGCATGTGGCTGGGGTGTCATGAGGCCCTGACTATTTTACTCAGTGTTTCTTTTCATTCAGAGACAACTGATGATAAAGGGAATATTGCCAAAATGCACAAATACTAATGCTTTCCCAACCTGTTCAACACACTGGGCTCGCTGGGTATTTGGGCCCTTTTCTTTGTTTGGTCTTGTTTCCTCCCTACTGCCTAGACCACCACAGACATCTCTGCAGTGTGATTTTACCTGTTCTTTCTCTTGTTTCACGTCTTCCTGGTGTTGTCACTCCCAAGTTTTCTCCAAATCCAAGCTCCCTTGACTGCT